GAGGAGGAGGAGGAGGAGGAGGAGGAGAGGAGGAGGAGGAGGAGGAGGAGGATTTGGGAGGAGGAGGAGGATTTGGGAGGAGGAGGAGGAGGAGGAGGAGGAGGAGGAGGAGGAGGAGGAGGAGGAGAAGGTGAGGATGAGGAGGAGGAGGAGGGGGAGGATTTGGGAGGAGGAGGGGAATTGGGGAGGAGGAGGGGGGGGGAGGAGGAGGAGGAGAGGAGGAGGAGGAGGAGGAGGAGGAGGAGGAGGAGGAGGGAGGAGGAGGAGGAGGATTGGGGAGGAGGAGGAGGATTGGGAGGAGGAGAGGAGGAGGAGGAGGAGGAGAGGAGGAGAAGGAGAAGGAGAAGGAGGAGGAGGATGATGAGGAGGAGGAGGGGGAGGATTGGGAGGAGGAGGGGAATTGGGGAGGAGGAGGATTGGGGGGGAGGAGGAGGAGGAGGAGGAGGAGGAGGAGGAGGAGGAGGAGGAGGAGGAGGAGGAGGAGGAGGAGGAGGAGGAGGAGGAGGAGGAGGAGGAGGGTGGAGGAGGGTGGGAGGGAGGAGGAGGAGGAGGAGGAGGAGGAGGAGGAGGAGGAGGAGGAGGATTTGGGAGGAGAGGAGGAGGAGGAGGAGGAGGAGGAGGAGGAGGAGGAGGAGGAGGAGGAGGAGGAGGAGGAGGAGGAGGAGGAGGGGGAGGGAGGAGGAGGAGGAGGAGGAGGAGGAGGAGGAGTAGGATGGTGGAGGAGGAAGGATGATGATGATGATGAGGAGGAGGGGGAGGAGGAGGAGGAGGAGGAGGAGGAGGAGGAGGAGGAGGAGGAGGATGGTGCATAAGGAACATCGAACGCCGCGGTTCGACGGCATCAAATTTGCTGGACGCTGGGAACCTCTGTCCCAGAGGTCTGACGCTCCACAAGAAAATTGAGCGCGCGGTTTTGTACAGTTTTGGGCATCCGGGGGCCCTCGCTGGGTCTCGGAACCATCGAGAAACGACTCAGGACAAAAAACCGGCTCTGGGAAGTGGTCCAGACCTCCAGGGCCCCCGCATCGGAAATATTGGAGCGGACGGATGTCGGGGGTTGGGGGTCCCAAGACCGCGTGGTGACAGACCCGGCGGTGACCTCGAAATCTGCAAAGACCACACCGCAGGCTCCGTCGACACACCGTTCTGGGACCTCGGACCCAGTCGCCCGAGACATCCTCGGAGAACGACCCAGGTCCCAAAAGCGTGCGGTGACCCCGAAGCCCCACCGATTCACCACATGGTGTGGTCACCGCTCGGGGGCCCCCGACTCTGGAAGCCTCCCGAGGCCTCATGGGCCTCTGGGGCCCTCCCGGACCTCTGAAGGCCTGTGGAGGAGGGGGGACTGACGGGCCGATTTTCCACCAGGGACGGGAGAGGAAAGCGAGAGGGAAGAGCACTGGCCGGCCTTTGGCGACGTCGGCCACCGGTGGACCCGCAAGTGCCTCAGCGCGACGGGCACCGCGCTCGATCTGCCCTCGAAGAGCACCTCGCAGTTCTGGGCCTCCTTGGGGTGCAGCGCGGGGCAGGCCCCGCCGCCATCGGCGCGGATGCGTCGAAGAGGGGGAGGAGGAGGGAGGCCGAGGCTTCAGGCCGTTTGGAGCCTCCTTGGCCGCCTGGAGCGCCGTCGTCGCCGCGGCAGGATCCGCATCGAAACTCTGGCAAGAACGCACACCCAGGACAGACCTGGGGGTCGGTTATGAAGTGTGCACGCCAGACGTCTCTCTCTCGCTCTCTCTCTCTCTCTCTGTCTCTCACTTTTGCTTTCTCACTCTTCATCTGCATTCATGTATATTTAGACACACACTAGAACCATCGCGCGCACATCGCGCGCGCTCGAAGTCTAGTTGATCACCGCGCGCCCGGTCATTGGAAGGCGCTGCATGTTTCGATTCTCGAGGCAGTGAGCTGCGCCATTGACCTGATTCCCAAATGTTCCCGTTGCGCTTTATGCTGGTCCGTTCACAAGGGATGACGCAGGAGGCGTGAACGCAGAAGCGACGGGGCAGGAGAGCAGGGGGAGCAGAAGGAGAAGTGAAAGGAGTGAGAAAGTGAGAGAGAGAGAGAGAGAGAGCGACGGAAGAGGATGGAGCCAGGAGGCAGGAGAGACGAGGGAGGACGACCAGAGCGGAGGGAGGCGGGAACAGGGAAAAGCGAAAGACGGAGAAGGGAGTGGGGAAGAAGGACGGTGCAGGGAGGAGGCGACCGTAAGGCAGAGATAGAGGGATGAGAGGGAGAAGAGATGACGCAGAGTGAGAAGGAGAAGGACTGGGACGGGGAGGGCGCAGCATGAAGGGGGAATGAGGAGGGTTCAGAGTGGAGCGAGGGAGGAGTCAGGGGTCAGGAATGATCAGGTAGGAGGTGCAGAGCAGGAGGCAGGAGAGGCAAGAGGAAGGAGTGAGGAGAGAACGGAGGAAGCTACAGACGGAGGATGAATATGGAAGAGGGATGGTGGATGGAGAAGGCGGATGCGAGGAGGGCCTGGACAGGAGGAGGAGGAAGAGGAGGAGAAGGAGGGAGGCGGATCAGACATACGGGACACAGGGGGAGGGAGAAGAGCATCGCGGATCGAATCTAGTGGGGAGCGTGCTGGTATATCCATTTCTTCTGGGGGGCCTCCTTATGGGGGGCCACTGTGGCCACGGCCAGACTCCCCTTGGAACGTATGGCCCCGGCGCACATCTCGAGGCCGGGGCCGAGGGCGGCAGCGTCCGGCGCGCCTCCCCCCACAAACATCGACCATCGACCCCATCACGAGCACCCCAAGATCGGCAGCGAGCGAGGGGGGAAGTGAGAAGGAGGAGGCCTTCTCGGAAGGTTCGGAAGTCCCCCAGCCTTCCGAGACGTTTTCTAAACCTTCCTCGAAGACAGGAGAGACTCCTCAGCAGGCGCGAGAGCTTCTGAGAAGTCCCGCCGCGTTCTGAGAAGGCCTTCTCCTTCTCACTTTCCCCACTCGCTCGCCGCCGATCCATGTTTTGCTTTGTGGATGCCACGACAATGGACACCCTAACAGTCCGATCATTGAATTTTAAATGCGTATGAAATGTAGGCGCAATGTTCTAAACATGGTTTAAACATGCTTAAAACATGTTTGAAACATGTTTAAGACATCTGGCATTTACTTGGCAACATGCTTCCTCTCCATTGATCGTCCTCCACAAGTTTTGCTCCATCCCAACATTCCCCAACACATGTTGTGATGCTGTCTCCGCCAACCCGCGCCGTGCTGCGCACGGGCAGCCCCGGGGGCAAGGGCAACGGAGGGCGGCACCCGACGAAGAACGAGAACGAGCGGGACAAGCTGCCCCCCCTCGGTGTCAAGGCCCCATAGACACGGACACGCTAGACCCGGACACCCAACATCCCTCGAAACCAATTTTTCCAAACGGCGGCACGAAAAAAATACTGCACTGCAGCATTTCCAGAATAAACCCGGACACAGGCCCCCACAGCCTGCAAGACCCCCCTAAACGCGGACATAAACCCGAATCCTGCAGTGCAGCTAACAAAACATGCACGGGTGCTGAAAAACGTGACTTTGCAGGAAAGGATGTCGTTTCCTTGGTTTTCCGTGTCCTGGTTTATCTGTGTCCTGGTCTCCGGGGGCCTGACGGTAGAACCTGGCCAGACCGCCGGGGCTCCTGAGCCGCCTTGGCAGCCTCCCGGGCCTCACCGGGCCCTTCTAAGCCTCCACTGCCCCGATGGAGCCCCCAACAGGACCCCGATGGAACCCCCCCAAAAGCGCTAAGAGGGCACGAAAGGCTTCCTTGATAGCCCCAGTGCAGCCCCAAGATGGCCCAAATAAGCTGCCAAGAGGCTCCCATATCGAACAATCCGCGAAGGCATTTATGGTTGACTCCTGGGTCTGCTCAGGCTCATCCCGAGCTTCGGTTTGACCGCTGCCGCCCCTCTTTGTTCCGCTGCCTGCTCCTACGCTTCCCTGATAGGCTACTCGCCCGGGCATCGTTTCGGGATGAGCTGGCGGAGGTACTCGAAGCGTCTACGTAGAATACGTAGAATGGACTCGGAGGGGGAGGAGGAGGAGACGGAGGAGGAGGAGCAGGAGGAGGAGCAGGAGTGAGGAGCTGGAGGAGAAGGAGGAGGAGGAGGACTAGCAGGAGAAGTGTTCTGGCGAGGCCCCAGCTTCCAATCACTCTGCCACGGCATGACCATCCACCGATTGTTCCCGGATGGCCCCTCTTGCTCTCTCCCTCTGCGCCTCCGGGGCCGCCGCCACACCCTCTGCGAAACACCATCTTCATCGTCTGGTGCACCAGCGCGCAAGGCTGCATCCGCCCCACAGCCAATGCGATTCTGAGAGGTGGATCAGAGCTTTATAATTTGTTAGCCGCCTGGACTGCGACATGTCAGAAATTATAGTGCGCTCCTGGGTTCGCCTGGGCGCTACTGGGCGTTTTGGAGGGTTCTCGCGTGGGCCTCCCAGACGGTGTCACCGCCCAAGACTATCCGAACCACCCCCCAGGTTGTGCGCAGAAGCGCCCAACAAGACCACGGATCGCTCCGAGACGGCCCCAGAGGGCCCCAAAACTGTCCACGACACCCTCAGCGGCCCAAGAGGCTCCCAAGAAGAAACACGAGGGCTCCAAGAGGCCCCGCAAGAGGGCCCCGAGGGGCTAGAATCATTGATGTTCCGATGGCTCGCTCTTACGAGATTCGAACATTCCACCTTTTCTAGCTCCCGACACGCCAGGACGGCCTAAGGGCCCGCAAGAGCAGCGCCCCCAGACGGCTCAAGAGGCCCCACAACGGTCCAAGAGGCCCCAAGTTGGCTCAAGAGGACCCCAAGAGGGGCCCAAGAGAGGCCCCAGAGGGGGAACACGAACCCACATTTCGAGCTCTCCGCCCCAAGATGACCCACGAGACCACCAGCAAGCCCCCAAGAAGCTCCAGGAGGCCCCCAAGAGGCCGAATTCAGGCCCCAGGAGGCCCGCGAGACATCCCAAACCGCATCCATTAGGCTTCCGAGAGGAATCCACCGGAACGCCCACATGACGCCACCCACGAGGCCTCCGACCTACAACCCAGGCGCGGTGGCGGGATAGGCCGAAGGCCACTGTATCCGCCGCCCCCTGCTTGCAGGGGTGCACGGCGTGCTGGATGAGCTGTCAGGTTTTGGTTTTGGTTCTTTTTCTAAAAGAACTCCCCAGTGGGCTTTGGCCCGTCCCGCCGGCCACCCGGAAAGGATGCCCAGGAGCTCAATTCCCCAATTTCCTGCCCCAGACGGTTCCAAAATGGCCTCCAAGACGGCCAAGATGGCCCAAGATGGCCTCCAAGATGCCTCCCAGACGGCCAAGATGGCCTCCAAGACGGGTAAGATGGCTCCAAGATGCCTCCAAGACGGCCCAAGATGCCCTCCAAGACGGCCAAGATGGCCCCAAGATGCCTCCAAGATGGCCCAAGAGGCCTCCAAGACGTTCTCCAGGAGAGCCCGAAGAGGCCAAAATCATTGGTTTTCCTTAGGTTTTTGAAGGTTTTTTGCGTTTTCTTCTTTTCGGCCTTCCGACGGCCCAAGAGGCCCCCAAGATCGCCCAAGAGGCCTCCAAGAAGGCCCTATGACGGCCCAAGGGCCCCCCAAGACGGCCCCAAGAGCGCCCCAAGACGGCCCAAGAGGCCTCCAAGACGCCCAACATGGCCTCCAAGACGGCCCTGAAGCGCCCCAAGAGGGCCCCAAGACGGCCCAGAGAGGCCCCCAAGACGGCTCCAGACGGCGTCAGACGGACCAGGAACGCCCTAAGACGGCCAAAGAGACCCCCAGGAAGCCCCCAAAGGCCCCCAAGAGGCCCAAGGAGGCCCCCAAGATGCCTCCAAGAGGCCTCGAAGAGGCCCCCAAGAAGCCCCCAACAGACCCCAAGGGTGCCCCAAGAGACTCCTAACAACCCTCATCCTCCTACTCTATTTCTTCCTCTTCCTCTTCCTGTTCATAATCATTCTCTCCCATGTGTTCCCCGAAAGCTTTCCAAACCGACTCGGGGAACTCATGGTCCGATAGCTTGGCCAAGCTCTAGTCCAACTTTCGGCCACATCGGCGTTTCCAAAAAGGCAGGGGGCGGCGGTGATTCGCCGTAGGCGTCTTCGATCCGCCGCCCCCTGTCGATTCATCGTAGGGGTGCCTGGCGGGCTGGACCCTTTCGGTTTTGGTTTTTGTCCAAAAGAACTCCCCTTGGCGCTTCGGCCCGTCCCGCCGGCCCTGCGGAAAGCCTGCAAACGACCTCAACGTCCAGAAAAAACCCTCCAAGACGCCTCAAGATGGCCTCCAAGATGGTCACGTTGGCCTAAGATGGCCTCCAAGATGGCCTCCAAGTTCACCCAAGATGTTCCAAGACGGCCTCCAAAACGGCCCACGAGAGTCCAAGACGGCCCAAGACGGCCCAAGAGGCCCCCCAGAGGCCTCCAAGACGGCCCCAAGAGGTCCTCCAGGAGGGTCCGAAGAGGCCAACATCATTGATTTTATTTAGGTTTTTGAAGGATTTTGGCACCCGCTTCTTCTCAAGATCGCCCCCACAGCGCCCAAGAGGCCTGCAAGATTGCCTCAGGACTGCCCAAGAGGACCCCAAGACGGCCCCAAGAGGGCACAAAGACGACCCAAGAGGCCTCCAAGACGTCCAAGATGGCCTCTAAGACGGCCCTGGAGCACCCCAAGAGGGCCCCGGTCCTTCTGGGCATTCCAAAAGGGCCCCAAGTCGGCTCAGAGATGCCTCCCAAACGGCTTCCGACGGCGTCGGACGGGCCAGGGGCCCACCAAGACGGCCGAAGATGGCACTAAGATGGTCCAAGACGGCCCAAGAGGCCTCCAAGAGGGCTTCCAGGAAGGCCTGAAAAAGCCAAAATCTATGATTTCCCATGAGTTTTTGAAGGATTGTGGCATTTGCTTTTTTCAGCCTCCCGACGGCCCGAGACGGCCCAAATGCCCCCAAAGATCGCCCAAGAGGCCCAAGACGGCCCCAAGAGGCCCCCAAGACGGCCCAAGAGGCCTCCAAGACGCTCAAGATGGCATCCAAGACGGCCCAAGAGCCCTCCAAGACGTCCTCCAAGAAGGCCCGAAAGGGTCAAAATGGTCTCCAGGCGGCTAAGATGACCTTCAAGATGCCCACGTTTTCCCCGAATGCTTTCCAAACCGATTCGGGGAACACATGGTCCGATAGCTTGGCAGGCCTGGCCTCAACGTTCGGCCACACAGGCGCTTCCAAAAAGGCAGGGAGCGGCGGTGATTCGCCGTAGGTGTCTTCGATATGCACATATCACTATACCTGAAATCCGCCACCGTGCCCTGCTGCACGAATTGGAATGTCCTCAGACCCCTTGTTCGATCCCATGGAGCCTCAGTTCTCAATCCTGAGGTTTCTCCAAGGGGCGGACCCGAATTCACAAATCTTCCGGAGCCCTCGCGTGCCATCTGGAGACCCTGGAGTGTTGTCGCATGACTTTTTCAATGCAAGGTAGGGCCCGAGACGGGACAAGACACACCCAAGGGCTCGCCCAAACGGTCCAAGGGTGCCCCGAATAGCTACACGATCGGTCCAATACGCCCGAGACGCCCCCAAGACGGCCCACGTCATTGATGTCCCGTAGGTTGTTCAATGTTTTTGGGGTCCTTGTCTGTTCGAGCTTCCGACGTTTGAAAACGGCCGGAGAAGCCCCCAAGACGGGCCCAACACGGCCCACGAGGCCCCCAAGGGCTCCAAGACGGCCCCCAGAGGCGCCCAAAAAGGCTCAAGGGGCCCAGAAACAGCAACAAGGAGGACCCAAGAGGGGGAACACGAACCGAAAGTCCGGGGCTCCCGCCCCAAGAGGACACCAGGAGGCCCCGAGGAGGCCCCAACAGACCCCCGAGGCCGCTGCGCCCTCCTAGGCCGCTGAAGCTAGCTTCTAAAGGGGGCTCTGAGACCAGCTACGCTGCCAAGGAACACGCACGCGTGTTGCCTTTGGCTGCAGTGAGGTCAGCTTTTTCCAAGTGGCGGCCAAGTCAGACGCCAGCTGCGGTCAGGTCTGCACGGACGCGCTCTTCGGCGCCAAATCTCTGCAAGCCGATGTCACCAACAGCTGTAGAAACAGAGACCAAGCATGCAACTTTTCGAACCTCGTCTAGCGGCTGTCGGAGGACGAGATGCAACATCATGGTTGCGGAAGCACCTCCTCCTCGCTCCTCCATCTCCTCCTCCTCCACCTCGCTCCTCGCTCCTCCTCGCTCGTCCTTGCTCGTCATAGCTGCTCCTCGCTCCTCCTCCTCCTCCTCCGCCTGACTCCTCGCTCCTCCTCCTCCTCCTCATCATCATCATCATCGTCATCATCATCACTCGTTCCTCGCCCTCTCTTAGCTCGCTTAGAGCCCAAGGTCACCCAAAAATAGCCTCCAAGATGGTCCCGAGATGCCTCGAAGACCGCTAGCATGGTCCAAGAGGACCCAAGAGGGCCCAAGAAGCGGCCACGATGCCCCCAAGACGGCCCAAGAGATCTGCAGGTCCTCCAGAAGGCCCGAAGAGGCCAACATCAATGAGGTTCTATAGTTTTCTGGTTCAAATAATAAGATTTTGTCATTTGCTTCGAAGCGGCGTTCCGATAGTCCAAGGGGCTTCTAGGACGGCCCAAGAGATCCCCAAGACTGTCCCAACATGGCCCCGATGCAGCCCAAGAGGCCTCCAAGACGCCCAAGAGGCCTGCAAGACACCCAAGATGCCCTTCAAGACGACCATGGAGCGCCCCAAAAAGGCCCTGAGGCAGCCCAGAGAAACGCCCAATACGGCTTCCGACGGGCCAGTAACGCCGTAAGACGACCAACGAGACCTCAAGAAGCACCCGAAGGCCCCCAAGAGGCCCAAGGAGGCCCCCAAGAGGCCCCTAGGCGGCCCCCCTGGAAGCCCCCCCTGGGAGGCCCCAATAATGACCCAAGAAGTTCACAAGAGGTCTCCTCATCCTACTCATTCTCCTCATCCTCCTCTTTCCTCCCTCTCCTCGTCCTCCTCTTCCCCCCCACGTGCTCCCCGAAGGGCTTCCAGAACCGCTGGGGGAACGCATGGTCCACTAGCGTGGCCGAACTGTGCCCAAACGTTTGGCCACACAGGCGTATCCTAGAAGGCAGGGGCGGCGGTGATTCGCCGTAGGCATCTTCGATATACGCATGTGTTTAATCATATCAATCGCACGTTCCCTCTCAATCCCACTACCCCTTTTTCGCCCACTCTACTCCGCGTCTCTCTCACTCTACCTGCTTTCCTCTCTCTCTCTCTCTCTCGCGCGCTCTCCCTCTCTTTCTCTATGTGTTTTTAGTTAGTTGTTAATAAATACGTATATATATATATATATAGTGTCTCTCAATATTGCCATCTCTCTCCTTCCCTCTCTTGTGGTTGGTTCTCTCTCTCTCTCTCTCTCTCTCTTCTGTACACAGAACATACATATCTCAATGTGTAAATAAGTACGCAACTAGAGATACATCTCGGACCCCTTGCATCTTGATCTTGCCCAGGGCCAATGTCTTCCGTGGCTTCAGAAATCCAGAGGCGAGAAGGTGCTTGAGCAAGATAACAACGACGTGGATGAGATGGGAGGCCGCGCAGGGAGTCCCTCGAAGGATGACAAGGGCGGGAACATAAGGCTAGGATGGGAACAAGGAATGATGATTTTCTGGCCGCCCCTCCTTGTCCACACGACTCACCAAGCCCAGGTCCCCCGCGCCGAACGCCGGGAAGTGCCGACCACTCAGTACGACGACGTGCGAGCCGACCACGATGTCCTGCGGGGCTCCCCCAGGGGTGGGCCAGGCGAGGCAAGGCGGCCGAGGCAGGGGCGAAAGGGAGGAGGAGGAGGGCAGGGGAGGAGGGAGGAGGGAGGAGGGAAGGAGGGAGGAGGGAAGGGAGGGAAGGGAGGAGGGAGGAGGAGGAGGGCAGGGGAAAGGGGGAAGAGGCAGGTTACGGTCGCTTGGAGCATGCCTGAACGCTTGATTCGGCGGCGCGCCCAGGGGGGAAGTAAGGCGGGCTCCTGAGAAGTCCCGCCACCTTCTGAGAAGGCCTTCTCCTGTTTACTCCCCCCCCCAATCGCTCGCCGTCGAGATTGCTGCTCGATGCAGGCACGCCCTGCGAAAGTCGACGGGAGGCGGGCAGGCTCCTCCGCGGGGAGGAAGCAGGCTCGGCAGGACGAGGATGATGACGTCCAGGGCCCGGGAATAGAAGAAGAACAAATTACATGAATATAAACTTTTTGGCGCTCCGCGCGGATTTCCTGGATCTGCACTGGACTCTCCCCTCCCTGGCGCGCGGAGCGCGCCAGGGGCAGCGCCGGAGGCGCCGCCAGGGGGACGCCTGCGCCGATCCAAAGAGTCCGCGCGGAGCGCCAACAATTCATGCTCATGGCGTTGTTTCTTCTTCCAAGGACTTGAGCAGGGACCGACCGTCCCAGCATTCCACAGGCCTACCACGAAATTTTCTTTGAACATAGACCCGATGAAATGTTGGGCAGGCGCCGCTCCCCGCCTTCGGGAGCCCCCCCTCGGCGACAGCGAAGGGCTGCGACGGCGGTGCCGCCGCGCGCGCGGAGAGGTGCCCTCCGGCGGCCCCGGGAGCCGCCGCCGCGCCGCGGGGGCGGCCCTCGCCCCGCGGGCCTGCCGCCGCTCTCGGACGCCCCCTTTCCGTGCGCGGCTTTCCGTCTCGTCTCGCGCCTTTCTCGTGGCGGGATGGTCCACAGGCTGCTCCTCGCCCAGGAAGAGGAGAGAACGCACAGAGGAGGAGAGGACGCCCAGGAGGCGCCTCGTCTTACTTGTCCGCGCCCCCGCCCCCCGGGCTGCGCACGCGCCGCTCTGACCGGGCGCGGGCGCGCGAAGGCGCGGCTCGAACAGCCGTGCAAGCTGTGAGGCGGGCCGCGCCGAAGCAGAGGAGAAAAGACAGCGAAGCGAGCAGCGCCCTCGAGGGTCCCCGCCCAGAAGGAGGAGAGAACGCACACGTCCCGGCGAGGCCGGGCAGGCGGCGCGCGCCACCCCCGGCCGGCTCCGCCGCGGCCAGAGCGCCGGCTCGGCGCCGAGGCCGCCCGAGCGCTCGAGGAGGAGCCGGCCGATGCGGCGCGCGCGCGCGCGGCGTGCCCCGACGGGCTGGCGCTGCCTCTGCAGACGCCGCGCGCGAGTCCTCCTCCTCGTCGACGTCCTCCCTCCATTCTCCTCTCTCCTCCTCCTCCGAGTCTGTGGTCAGCCAAATCTCCATCGACGTCCTCCTCCTCCTCCTCGGCCATTTCGCGTCCGAGCCACCCCGGCCTGCGGGGGCGCGCGCGGACGGCGCAACCGCCGACTTCGAAGCGGCGTTGCGGTTGCGAGCCACCCCGTCGACATCAAGATGTCGGCAGCAAGAGAGGTGGGTGCCCAACGTCATCAGCTACAATGCGGTGATGGGCATGCGCCGTGCCAGGTGCGGAGTCCGCCTGCCTCGCCCCTTCGCATTCCCATTCCTCCTTCCTCTCCTCCACCCCCTGGCGAGCAATAGCGCCAGCCGCAGCGGCGCTGTTGCAGAGACGCAGGTCAGCTATAAAGTTGAGATCGGCCTCAGCGGCGACAACGTTGCTGGAGTCCTCAGCGGCCACAGCGTTGCTGGAGTCAGGTCGAGCGAGTTGGTCATCAGCTACAGCGATGGGACCAGAAAGTGCGACAACGAAGCAGAGCCCGACGTCCTCACCTACAGCGCGGCAGGCAGCGCATGTGAGAAAAGCGGGCAGTGGCAGCAGGGCCTGGCGGGGCTCCGGGACACAGGAGCAAAGCTGGAGGCGAACGCGCTCAGCTACACGGTTACCATCAGCGTGTGCGAGAAGAGCAAACAGCGCGCCCTCAACCACAGCGCCGCAAGCAGCGCGTGCGAGAAGGGCGGGCAGTGGAAGCAGGCTTGTGCAAGTTTCCGAGAGAAGGAGGCAGAGCTCGATCAATACACAACTCGTGGCAGTGGACCGGTACACCCCGAGGCGGCAGCAGGCGGCAGTACTGGAGCAGATCCACTCAGCTACAGTTCTGGGATCAGCTCGTGCGCGAAGACAGGCAGTGGCAGCAGGCGCTGGCAATGCGAGAAGGGCACGCAGTGGCAGCACGCTGCTGACATGCGAGAGGCGGAAGTGCAGGGGCGGACATCCTCGGCTACGATTATGAGATCAGCTCATGTGCGACGAGCAGGAGTCAGCCAGGATCAGCTACAACGCTGGGAGCGGTTCGTGCGAGAAGGGCGGCAGCATGCGACAGTGCAGGAGCAAACGTCCTCGGTTACAACTCTGGGATCAGCTCGTGCACGAAGGCAGGCAGTGGTAGCAGGCGCTGGCACTGAGAGAAGGGCACGCGGTGGCAGCAACTGGCACTGGGAGAAAGCGGAAGTACAGGCGCGGACGTCCTCAGGTACAGTACAGTTCTGAGATCAGCTCGTGCGCGAAGGCAGGCAGTGGGGCACGCAGTGGCAGAAGGCGCTGGCGCTGCAAGAAACTGCGAGAAGTGGGAGGCGAAGGAAGAGCCCGACGTGATCAGCTACAGTGCTGGGAGCGAGGGAAAAGCGAGCAAAACGGGCGGGCGGGCCATGATCAGCTACAACGCTGGGAGCAGTCCGTGCGAGAAAGGGGGCGCGCAGCTGCGAGAAGTGGGAGGTGAAGGTAGAGCCCGATGGCATGTAGCTAACCTGCTCGGCACTGCGCGTGCGAGAAGTGCTGGGGCAAACAATTGGGGCAGTGGATCGGTGCACCTCGATCGCTTCGGCGCGAAATGGCAGGGAGGAACTCTGTAGCCAGCCTCTTGGGAGAAGCGGGGGGTGAAGCTAGAGCCCAAATTCGTCGAGAGCTCTGGGCAAGCCTCTTGCGATAAGCTGGGGGCAAGGCTGAAGCCCAAGTTTAGTCTCGAGCGAGCCACTTTTAGCTACCGTGCTGGAACCAACTCGTGCGAGAACAGAACGTGGGCAGTGGCAGCTGGGCTGTCCAGGCGTGCGAGGAGTGGGGTATGGCTCGGCGACGGCCCGAAGCGACCCCGCTCCCACGGCACGAAACCGTAGGGCGTCGTGATCCGTTTTGGCCCGCGACACTCCTGCAACGCTCCTCCTTCTCATCCCCCTCCTCCTCCCCTGGCCCATTCGGAGTCTGAGCCCACTCGGCCGCCGAGCGGGCAGCCAAACGCGCCGCGCGCTAAACACTGAAATGCCAGATCATGGCCAACGGGGCAGACGGAGGCTGGACTCCTTCGGACACGTAGCAGAAATGGAGCGAAGTGGCCCAGCTCCGCGCCATTCTTTCATATGAGAGCACTCCTCGCGGCCATGCTTGGTTAAGAGAAGAATAACAAACGCCATATACATAAACTTTTTGGCGCTCCGCGCGAACTTCTTGGATCTGCGCCAGACCCCCCTACCTGGCGCGCGGAGCGCGCCAGGGGCGGCGACGGAGGCGCCGCCGGGGGGGCCCAGCGCGGATCCAAGAAATCCGCGCGGAGCGCCAAACGTTTATGCTTGCGGCGTTTTGTTCTTCTTCGAGTTGAGCAATCCTCTGGTGTGCTGTGGTCTGACCAAGACGAAGCCTGCATATGGTCCTGAGGCCGATTCTCCCGTCAAGCTGTGCGTCGGAGCGCAGACGAAGCCGTGCGTGCCCCCTTGCCAGCAGCAGCCACCGCCCATGGCTCGGGCGCGGTGGTGCTCGACCAGTGTCAGCTGGGGGCCAAGGGCCCACCAGCCAAGAAACCCTCTCTGGCCATCGCCAACATGCCACATCTGCTCACACCGTTTCGAAACATACGGTGCCCAGACAACCGCGCCCACGACGTCATCGAGTGCGGGTGGGCAGCCGCCTGCGTCCGCGACCGCCGCCAGCGCCGCGCCGTGAGTCGCTGGCAGCGGAGGCGGCGGCCCGCTGTGGCCCCCCTTGGCCCGCCCCCTCTGGGTGTAACACGACCAAGGGCGGCTTCAGAGCCACGCCTGGAGCGAGAGCTTCCGAGCTGAATTGCATGTGAGATGGGCTGTTCGACCCCTCTCCCCTCTGCTTCCCCCCGCTCGCTTCGTGCCTTGTCTCGCCTCGCCGCTTCCGCTGGACTCTTGCACGCGCTTTCCTGTTCTGCTCGGTTGCCAGCGCGCCCTCGGCAAGATGTCCCGCTGCGCATGGCCCAACCTGTAGAGCAACGGGTGACCCAAAGGTGGCACGATGGCCACGAGAGGAACGCCGGCGCGGCCGAGGAGGCTCCAAAGTGCCCCGACGACGTCCTCGAGCCTGCCGACGCGTCCTCCCGGCTGCCTGGCCTCTCTGCTTACTTGCCCTTGCGCGGAGAGGCCCGCGGAGCGCGGCCGACCGCGCGGAACGTGCGCAGCGGCGTCCCCCCGCGTACCGCCGCCTCCGCGCGGAGGGGGCGGCATCTCGCAGGCCGCCCCAGCGCCCCCTCGGCGTGTACAGGCGCCGCCGCCGGCATGTCGCTGCGGTGCGGCAGGGCGACGGCCGTGTGACGACCGACCGCTCGAGCCAAACGGATGAGGAGCATGTTGGCGGCGCGCAGAGGGGGGGTAGGGGGAGGGGGGAAGGCTTCTTAGAAGCACCCTGCTTCTCAGGAGGCCCCGGCCTTACATCTACAGATAAGGCCAGCGCCTTCTAAGAAGCAGGGGTGCTTCTCGGAAGCCTCCCCCCCTCCCCTTATCCCCCTTCTGCGCGAGGCCGAGCATGGGAGGGACGAGAAGACGAGGGAGGATGGTGTCGAGGAAGATGTGCAGCAGGAGCCCGATCACAAGAAGCCTTCCACAAGAAAGCCAACCCTGAGATCCCAGGGCTTCCATGGATGCTTGGTTGGGAACGTCACGGTTTCCACAGTAAAACCATCGAAACCCAAGAAACCAGGGCACCCTGGAGGCAAGCAGGGTGTTTCTTGGCATGGGCCTGCACTGCGAGAGGACGAGGGAGGATGATGGTGAGGAAGATGTGGAAGATGTGGGAAAGGAAGGCGAGGAGGCGGAGGAGAGGGGAGACGGAGGAGGGAAGCGGAGGGCAGTGAAGAGATGAGACGGGCTTCCTGTGGCGGCTTCCACCGCTGCCGCCTTGTGGGCGCAAAACCCAAGGGCGCCACGATCGGCGCCCTGGACCCCGTGCCCAGAATGAGTGGCCGACACGGTGAAACTCCCCTGCAACAAAAAGCAGGAGACGCCATCCCAAACGTGCGTTTGAGGAGGGACTCCCCACAAGCGAAGTGGCTGGGCCCTGAAAGAGGAAAATGGAAATTCAGAGGAGAATGTCGAGGAGGACGTGGCGGCGAAGGGACACATGGACAATGCAGAGAGGAAGGGTGCTGCAGGGGGCAGGAGGGCCAGAACAGAAACATAATAATAATACTGATAATGCAAACTCATCATACTAATAAGCATAACCATAATGCTCATACGAATGATGATAATAATACTAACAATAATTATAACACTAACAACACGAGTCATAGAACTACGAATTTGAATACTGCTAGTACTGCTAACACGTATAATGCCACTACTAAAACTAATAACAAGTGATAGCGATGATGCCAAGGCTAATAAGTTCAACAGTCCTGAAAGTGATACTTCTACTCGTAATATGAATACGCAGGCTGATAATAATAGGATGATGCAGAATACTGGTAAGTGCTAGAGATGACGATGCGAATCATAAGTCAGGAAGGAATCGTGGAGGGGACTGGGCGGAGGAGGCCATCGGGGCCGCAAACGAGCCTGTTCATGGGGGTGCACCACACGACTGGCCGAGAGGATGGCGCGGCTGATAATTGCGCTGCCCGCGCGGAGGAAGAGAACGGCGACTAGAGACATGCCTCGCCCGGCACGGGGAGCCCAGTCCACCCAACCACGAGCAGGGGGATGAGCTCTGGGAGCCTGGGTTGGCTTCACGCGCGCCCTGCAATTGGGAACACGACGATGGGCCGATTTTCCAGCACCACTACCATACATAAGACGGGGGAGAAGTGAGGATGTGGAGGTCCTCCTCCTCGTCCTCCTCGTCCTCCTCCTCCTCCTCCTCTTCCTCCTCCTCCTCCTCCCCTCCCCCTCCCCGTCCCCCTCCCCCTCCCTGTCCCCCCTCCCCCTCCCCCCCCCTTCCCCCTCCCCCTCCCCCTCCCCCTCCTCCTGCTGCTGCTCCTCCTCCTCCTCCTCCTTCTCCCCAACCTCCTCCTCCTCCTCCTCCCTCGCCTACCTATGGTAGTGGTGGTGGTGGTGGTGGAGAATCAGCCCATCACACGAGGTCTCAGGCACCACCGACCAGGAGGAGCAAGATGAGAGTGTGGCGCACAAGGAGGGAGAGAGAGAGAGAGAGGACGACTGCCATGATAGAGAGGTGCTCTCTCCAGGAAGCGGGTCCTGGACCCAGGGGCTTTCCCCGGGACTGGCCTTTTTCATCCTTTCATTACTCCTTTAGGTCAGGCGTGTTCCCCTACAGGCGGATGTTCTAAGACAAATAAACATAACTAATCAGACAGAGCTCAAACATAGTAGGAACATCGTCCCCAGACTATCTTCTAACTGTTCTCGAGTATTCCCCCGTAGATGGACATGCCCGATCCGATGCCCGACTTAGTCCTTTCTGTATTGTCCCGATGCCCGGGAAGGGCTCCCTGGGCGGCCGAAAATAACGACAAGCCTCGGCCGCCTTGTCCCTCAGGAGGAAGAAGAAGAAGAGGAGGGAGAGGAGGAGTGGCAGGAGGAGGAGGAGGAGGAGGAGGAGGAGGAGGAGGAGGAGGAGGGGACGGCGGAGGAGGGGAAGGAGGAGGCGGAGGAGGAGGGGGAGGAGGAGGAGGAGGAGGGGGAGAAGGAGGAGGAGGAGGAGGAGGAGGTGGAGGAGGAGGAGGAGAAGGCGGAGGAGGAGGAGGGGGCCCCTTTCCAAGAAGGCCCCGATCCTGCCCGTCCGAGGGCTCCTCGTCCTCCTGGGGCCGCTTGGCGAACAGCACCATGCGGCCGCCAGCGGGGGGGGCGCCTGCAGGCGACGCGACGCCGAGCGGGGGGGGGGGATCGATGAGGATCCATATGTTCTGCGAGTTCTGGCCCCTCGTCTAGCCTCCAGAGGCCCCATGGCAACCTCCAAAACTTCTGGGGGGGAGCACCAGCAGCTCCTGGGGACCTCCTGGGCCTCCCTGACCCTTGGACGCCTTCGGAGACCTCCAGAGACCTCTGAGGTGGTGTGGGACGGAGAACCGCCCCCTCGTTTTCATCGTGCGGGGGGGGGGGGGGAAAAGCTGCTGGTGTAGGGAGGGAGGGAAGGGAGGGGCAGGGCAAGGATCAAACCAGACCTTGGCCTGCTGCGTGCTGCCTCCATGCTGCTGCTCCCCCTCCCGCTTGGATGCACCGATCGGCCCATCACCACAGGATGAGGAGGGGGAGAAGGATGATGATGAGGATGATGCTGCTGCTGATGATGATGATGCTGATGATGATGATGCTGATGCTGATGATGTTGATGCTGCTGCTGCTGCTGCTGCTGCTGATGATGATGATGATGATGATGATGATGATGATGATGATGATGATGATGATGCGGATGATACTGATGTTGCTGCTGCTGCTGATGATGATGATGCGGATGATGATGATGTTGCTGATGATGATGATTCTGCGTATGCTGCTGATGCTGATGCTGATGATGACGTTGCTGTTGTTGTTGATGATGATGTTGATGATGCTGCTGCTGCTAATGATGACGATGCTGGTACTGATGCTGTGCTGATGCTGATACTGCTGCTGCTGATGATGCTGATTATGATGATGATGTTGATGATGATGATGATGATGATGATGATGATGATGATGATGATAATGATGGTGATCATAATAAAGATGCTACTGCTGCGGATGATGATTAGGAGGAGGAGGGTGAGGAGGACGCGGACTAGGCCGAGGAGGAGGATCATGCTGATAATGCTGCTGCTGATGCCGATGCTGATGATGATGATGATGTTGGTGATGATGATGCTGCTGCTGCTGCTGCTGATGATGATGATGATGATGATGATGATGATGATGATGATGCTGGTGTGGTCGGGGGCTCCGCCCACACGGCCGATGGTTGGCCGCGCGCCTGGTCCCACGCCTGGTCGATGTGCTGGACCGGCGTGGCGGTGCGCTGCTGTTGCGTCGCGGCTTTGCCAAGCCGATTCTGCTGCTGCTGCTGATGATGATGATGCTGATGATGC